AATTCTTTTATAATTTATGGACGAGTTGATTTATTGTCCAGCCCATTTATATCAAAGAGGGTGGAATGAATATTAGAAACACCTTTCAGTATAATATTATTAACAGCAGCACGCACTGCGTCTTCCAAAATAAAATCAAGACGTCTGTGAAAAACACAAGTGAACATACAATATATAAAATTCATGAACATGTGATTAACTGTATTGCAGACTGCATTAGTTTTCACTATCTAATAAACTTCCGTATAAACTTGCAATAAACTGTGTGTTCATTCATGTGCATAGATTATATAACATACAAAACGCTTCTATTGCTTGGTGTAATAATAATGTTTTATGGTCCATATTGTATCTGCTTTGTCAACAGTCTTGTTTACAGCAACTAAAGGAGTTACCATTTATTTAACCTATCTATCTATCTATCTATCTATCTATCTATCTATCTATCTATCTATCTATCTATCTATCTATCTGTATTTAAGGTGTGACATTTCACAAAACACTGACCTTTCCCTCATATTGACTTCATTAATAATCTTTGCTGAACCTGAACTGTAAAGAGTGAAGGTTTCTGAAGCTGTAATGTTTCCGACTTGTCATTTTCACGGGTGAGAGAGTCATTAAACTCATGCTGTGCAGCGAAATATTTAAACCCATACAGCGTTACTTTAAATTCTAATTAAGACTGTCCGCACTTTCCAATGAGTCCAGATATGTCCGGCTTGGTTTTGAGGAAATCAATTCAAAATGATCATGATGTAACAGTGAAGCTCTTAAAATAATAGAGTTTTAATATTTCACTTGTATATGAAGTAGGACAATTTCAATCACCTAAAAGCGATAGGAAATAAGAGAAAATAAACTAATATTTGGGATATTGTAAATATTCAGCACCTCATTTATTTAATCCTCTAAGTTTCAAACTTCTTCACGGCTGGCATTTAGTCCTGGTTTGACTATAGGAATAATCCTTCTTGAACATAAGCAGAAGATTAGAGCCTTATTAATACGGTGTCATTTTTCTATCAGCGTTTTGCTATTAACCATGATTAGCATGCACAGTAGACTACTGATCTGCATTGTGAACAAGCAGGGGATGTTTAAGCAACAACAAAAAAAAAAAAAGGGAAAAAAAAAAATTAAAAACAACATCCTTCTCTTTCCCTGCAGCGAAAACAATGCTGTATGAGGGAGAATATTACAGAGTGTGCTGCAGTGATGAACATTTCCTCCTGTTTCATGTTTAACCCTGTTCATTTCCCACAGTAAGAACTCCGGAAACACACAAGTGTGCGCAGCAGCTTGGGGGGAAGATGACTGATGGCTTGTTGTCATGATGTTTGGGATTCTGCCGACTCGAAGCCTCTTGGCTCGCTGAGGCTGTGAAGCGCTGCAACACATACTACAGGCTATTGTTGAGAAGTCCTGGTATTAGCAAGGTATTGCTTCATTGTCACAGCGTTGAGCCCCGTGCAGAATGCAGTTATCTGTAATGTCCCCGGCCATTTGCACAGTAGTTGCATTGGATTTATGATTAGGGTTCATGCGCTGTGACAGATTTCATACCATTCAACGACGATGCAAGGACAATTATTAGAATTTCACACTGCGAGTGGATGGATTTTTTTTCCTTCTTTGTTTTCAAGTGGTATTCCCTGGATTGCGTGTGGGCTGGGTATACACTAAGCTAAACCTTACTTCTGACATGACAATTTTTCAAAAATGTCAATATTTGAGAAAAGCTGACATGCCCTATCAATCACACAGATAGCCGTCTTTCAAGCGGTCAATGTGCTGCTCTTGAATATCTGTGTCTGCTTCCTCCTCAGTCCTGCTCTGACCCTTTCTCTCTATTTCAGTTTCTCTCTCCTGCATTGTTTCTCTTTGTCCCTTTGCCTTTTCACAGCTCTATCATGCTGCCTGATGAGCCTTTGCACCATAAGCATGGCATAGATGGCTGTCATCTTCCCCCCTCTTTGGAACTGCATTAGCAGCAGTGACCTGTCTGGCTGGTGGTGACAGTCGTCTGTCAGCGCCGGTTAATTCGCAGTCTTGTGAGGGTCAAGAGCTGACATATAATGAGGCTTGACAGTGTTGCAGGGCCAGACAAGGGGTCTGGTGTCAACAGCGGCCGTAGCATCACGTCAGCAGCGGCAAGACGGCGGTTCAGTCCAAACCAAAGAGGTAATCCGAGCACGGCCGCACTGATCCCAGGGCCTTGACTGCCTATTGACACACATCAGAGCATGGACGCAAAACAAATTAGCATCAGTCAATACCCTCTCCCTCCTCCTGCCTCCTGACACAGCCACCCAAGTGCTGCCATGTTTACTTCACCTCCAGTCAAAACAATAGGCGATTGGAATGAAAAATGCACCGAGTTTGAAGAGGATGTTTTGGGGGATGTTTGTATAAGAGTTTGGTTTGAGGGGGAATCAAATTCAGAATTGTATTTTGCAGGATCCATTTTCACCCAAACTGTGACGTTCTCGTCTCTGAATATCATGAAGAATTTGTGGTTTAGGGGATGCAAGCTGTCCAGAGGAGGGAGCCTCAGCTTAAAGATCACTGTGTTTGTTGTACTAAATGTGATAATGGAACTTCTGCTGCACTGGGCAGTGATGTGGAACAACACCTCAAATATGCTAATCAAACATATGGCACTTGCAGGAACCAACACGGATTGCTGTTGTTGTCCTACGAGATAAAAAAGGTTACTTGGTTTTTTAAAATGTAATTTGAATACATCCAAGGGCTGCATGTTGTATTTTATTTTTATTTTTTTTCGCAAATGGAAAAGCAGTGATTGTTCACACCTGCTTTTCTTCTTCTTCTTCTTCTTCTTCTTTTCCCCTCTCTGCAACCCCTTCCCGCCCCCTCCCTCTGCTGAAAGCCATTACAGAAATACAATTTCTAATACCTCCGCACAGGTCTTCGATCGACTGCAAACAAATTTATATTCAGGCGGTAAACAGAAAGCTGCAGAGATTTATTTATTGAGTGTGGAGGAGAGAAACAAGCTAGCGTGTGAACCCTGAGTAACCTCCGAGCTGACATGAAGATGGATCAGTGCACCATGCAAATGCATGGAGAGAAGGGATATATTGCACTCAGTCATTCAGCACATCGCTGCCTGTAGAATCCCATTAACTCCCACAGCTGGGACCATATTTCTGTGTTGTAAGAATGCAGTTAGAAGTTGTTCATTACGCTGAATTATTTTGTAATTACTGCAGACTTAAAAGACATTGGAAATATTGTTAAAATAAAACAATAAGAACAGAGTCAGATAGTAGCTTAGTTTAGGTAGGTTTTAATTAAATGCTGTGGATGGCTGTTTCACACTGTTATCTCACACATGATAATAATAATAATAATAATAATAATAATAATAATAATAATAATCTCAGTAATTACTATATTTAATGTACATTGCATTTTTTTATAACAATAATGAAACATATTATATTAATTTCCTTTTCATTGATTCATCTCAGAAATGTAAAAAAAATAAATAACTCCAAATAATAATTTACTTCAATAAACAATTAATATCTAAAATGACAGCATCATTGCTCTGTGATAATTTAATACCTTCTAAGCCAATCGCATGAAACATATCTGAATCCTATAGAGTTTAAATTAAAGCACATAAATAATTTCCTTTTTTTGTTGTTGTTGTTTATTATTTCACAGCTGCTGGATTCATTGGAAATATATGACATCTCTTAAGCATAAATTAAAAGCAAAATAATCAACTGGTTTGGAAACTGAACATTATTTGGCACATGAGGATATTTTAGCTCTTTTAACTCCTAGATGTTTTAATGTAGCAGCAATGTGTGTATTTAAAAGTAGGTCAACAGACTTATGAAACAAAGAATTATAAAAAGCAAAACTTCTTCTGCACCTTGGAGCTTCTTGATCCTTTTATTTCTGCACTGGAGGGGAAATGCTGAAAACCTGGCTGTGTTTCTTTAGATGCTGTCAAACAAAACAGTCTGTTTGCACATTTCTTTGTAGAGAATATAAAATCATATTATAAGAGAATATGCAGTAGAATTGAGTTTAACTGAAGAACATTTTTTTTAAACAGCACTTAGCCTTGTTTGCACATGACAAGTATCCTTCCTGAACACACACAAACCCAACAGTCCTAACAACAGATTTGTACTCTCTATTTTTGGGGAGCAGTTAATCCAGCTGAGGAGCAAGTTTAACCAGAGACCAACATGTCCTTTCTGTCACTTCTAACTTCTTGATCTTCCCTCAGAGCCACTCTTTTTTTTTTGTATTTGTTCGAGGCTAATTACAAATCTGCTGCCACTGAACTTCTAAATACCAGCTGTCACGACCTCTGAACCCATTAAGTGTGCCTTTCACATGACCTGAGCCCTTTGCTAAAGAGGGCCGGGTTTTTTTTTCAAGAAGCCTTGGCCAAACATTTGCATAATCCATTAGCTCCATCAATGTAGGGCTATATTATGTTAATCTAGCTTTGGAAAAGTTGGCATTGTTGTCTTGAAAAATAACCACTATGCAAGAATTTGACCTAAAATTGTTTTTTTTTCTTTCTTTCTCTCTCTAAAGGAAAGTCTGTGCTGGATATGTGTCAGCCTACCTGTGTGGAGAGGTGAGAGGCCCGTGAAGGCCTCAGTGATGATGAACTTCCCTGTTGCTTTGTAAGGTTTTTTTGTTTTGTTTTTTTTCTTCCTGCCTGCTTGATGTGCTCGGACACCATTTAAACGTTGACCTGAGGTGAGTTTTCTCAACTTGCTTGCTCGGCTTAATAAGTGTTGTCCTCCCTGATGACAGAAAATGTCCAGCTATTGGCCGAGACCAGGAGGGCACGTCATCTCCATCAATCAGGGACCCGCAGTTTCTCCTCTGAGGAATGTCCCCACGGTCGTCCAGCCGCCTGACCATGCGTCGCTGGATGCATGAGAGGCCGGGCATGAAGTGCAACCCCGTCCAATGATTATGCAGGGGGAAAGGTGATAATGACTTCCTTTCTGGAGTTAACGGCCGAAGGGGAGACTAGCCCTCTGCTCACAGGCTGCTGCTGCCGAGCGAAAGAGGTCATAAACCGAGACCTGTGCGGCGGGTCTCATCCACAACTCGGCATTCGTGGCGAGGAGGGGACACTGGAGGTGGAAGACGCCTCAGGATTTTACTCTCCGCTTCTGTGCACCTCTTCGGACAGCCCTCCTCCTCCTCTCCAGGCTCTGGAGGGCTTCTCGGCACCGGCCTGCCCCCACTCGTCCCGTGTCCCCTGGCGGTGCAGGGCGCAGGGGCAGGGCTCTCCAGGACGCGGATACTGCGCGTCAAACGACGACGCGCGGCGCTGCGCTTTTGGGTCACTTGCAGAACAAATTCAACTCTATTCCAGCAACGGCCCCGAGATTCACGTCGCCGTGGGAAGTTCGGCCAACTCGGACTGTAGCGGAGCTGGTCCGGATGGAAGGAGTAAAACTTTTGGGTGGATGAGAGTGAAAAGGAGTCAGCAGCGGGCGGGTAAGTTTTTAATCAGGGGGGTATAGTGCAGAGCTCGTGGGGAGGGATAAAGTCATTTCCAGATTTATTTCTAATGGAGGAGTTTAATTATGAGCTTTGGTTAACTTTCATTCACACTTGAGAAAGTTTGGTCGAACTTTTCATCGTCGAGCTGGAAAAGAAAGTTAAAAAAAAAAAAAAAAAGCTGACGTGTTTTGTGCGTCACCATGCACAATTTCCTCCGTCATCAACAAACAAAAAGCAGAATTTAAAAAAGAAATCTACATTTTAAAAGCAAACCAAAACGCTTGTGGGGCAGCTGTAGCTGTTCCCTGGGCGCCACATTTGAATATGCACATGAGGGCTCGGTTACTATTTCCTTAACGGTTTCCATGTTAATGTGCGACTGTTAGGTTATTTAACATTTTTGCTCCACCTACTGTTACAAGCTGGACTCGGACTGTACACAGGAGCAGAGTGAAGTACAGTTACAGGCCTGCTCAGCCTCAGTTTATATTCAAACCCAGAAAATGATCAATTATTTAGCCTTGCCCTTACTAACCAGCAGACTTTGAATAATGCAACAGACCACTGCCTGTCGAGACTCACAGGAAGTTGAGTAAAACTTACTCTTGTAAGCTGAAGTGCTCCCTGACTATTGATTAGTTGTCTGTTTGTAATGAAAGCCCTTGTGTATTGATTTCAGTTTGCAGCACCTTTACATGTGTCCACCTTTTTAACATAATTGCTGTCACAGATCATCATTTCACTGACTGATGAGTCCTGGGCAATGAGCCCACAGAAGAATACATATCCCAGGCTTAAAAAAATACCAATAGCCTGCTAATGTGAAAAAATGCCCATCAATCCTCAATTTTGTGTGAGTTATAGTATCTTATATAGATCCTTCATTTGATCAATAATGTCACTTGACTGACTGGCCACTGTACCTGGGTTGGGTTTCATAAATTTTACATGGAGGAAGATTTACAACAGCGGTGGTCCAGTCTTTATTCTTCAGCTGTGAGGATGCTGCTGACCCAAATGTTCACTGACCAAAGAGGCAACTTTATCACAAACTGTAAAAAGGCCCAAACACTAGCCTGCTGCAAAATTCAGATGAGTGGGGGGAAATATTGTGGACTCTATATGTTGTTTGTGATGCTGCTGCATGATTAGATTAGATTAGATTCAACTTTACTGTCACTGCACAGAAAAAAGAAATGCAGTTTAGCATCTAACCAGATGTGCAAAAGCAGCAGTAAAGTGCGTTATATACAGTACGGGTGTTACAGTATGAACAGAGTGGCATGAATTAGATAAATAATATGCCAGTCGTGTTAACTAAATGTGGGGCAGCAAAATTAAAACAAATTTTTATTGCAAAACAATCAGATTAATGGCTAAAATAAGGTGCATTTTACAGACACTTTGATTTATTATGGAACAAACCTAGAAATTAACAAATGCAAAATTGAAATCTCAGGTTTGTGGGGGTTGATATGCATTCACACACCTGAAATAACGTTTTTCTGAGCGTGCTGCTGTGAGAGAATTTAAATCTAACACAAGCACGAAGCAAAAATAATAAGATAAAAGAAATAAGACGACTACGTTTAATCGAGTACTTGAATGTTACAGAATGTTGATTTAAGTGGATCAACATCTCCCTGATGATGCCAAAGTGAGGGAGGTAGAAGGTGACAACCACACCTTCGGTTGGCCTGGAAGTCATTTTATCCATCAGACACATTAGCCACTCATCTGATCCACATCCATGCACTTGAGAAAGCCATTTACTCACACCCACCCACGCACAGAGACATTTCCTGGCAGTATTGTTAGTATATCTGTAACCTCTCTCTGTACGTCTCTGATGGAGATCATCTGTAGGAGTAACTCATTAGCACTACTGTGTAACTTGTAAAAGAGTCATTAGTGAAAGTACGCTTTTCCTCTGGAGGTTGTATTGGTTTTGGCACAAAACAAAGTCCCGCGTATTCTTCCATGTTGAAGGGCCTCCACAGACCCGCTGTAACCTGATCTCCTGGCTCAGTGTATATACTCCCAGTGCGTCATTCTTCAATTATGCTTTGACAGCACCTGAATTACTGTGGGCTGGATGCCCAGATGACTGAGGCAATGTGTATTGATCTATCCCTTTTCTTCTTCCCTCTCCTTGGCTTGGAAGGCCCTCACATTCCCTCTGCTGGCTCTGGCTATTTTTAAGCGTGCAAGTCATTCCTCAAATATTTAGTTTGATTCTTTTATGCCTTCTGGCCGGCATCAATTCTATTATCTTTGGAGCCATTAATCAGAATGTGCATGTGATTTGCACTCCAGAAAGCTCAAGTTCTTAATTACGTACAGTTTCTCTGCATCGGTTCTTGGTATTCGCTGCCCTCTAATTCTCAGCCTCGGCCACCTTCACATTCATTTTCTTAAAACACAGATGTTGACATTTATCCTATAACTGACCTTTCCATCTGCTGTGCTTTTCCAAGTGGCTGGAGGCCTGTTAACCTTCCTCTTCATGAATTGTGGTGGGAGGCATTGCTCTACACCTGGCACACTGACTCCATTATGCAGCAGCACATTTTCTCAGAGGCAAAGACACGCTGACGACTACCCACAATGTCAGCAATGAAAAATCAAGATATAGCTGCGGTTGCTGTCATTCATTGCACATAAGTAGCACAGATGATACTTTAATGTGTAACCCAGAAACCTCAGAGGACAAAAATGGAGACATTTGTCATTAACGCAGTGTTTGAAAGGATTTTGTAAACTGTTAAACTGTCATTGACACAGAAAGGCCTAAAGGCAAATAATTAATGATTCTGATGAATACAGTTAATGGACTGTAAATGCTACTAAGTTGTTTTGAATCGCCAAACATTTCTCTGACTACTCTCATACATATCTTCGCCATACAGTGACACATTTTTTTTTCCTCCTGCGGTTTAATAAACTTGCTGATGAACGCATTTTAGAAGCAACACTTTCTAAAAATACAACACAATGCAGTTGAGCAGCCCTGCAAAAAAAAAAAAACAACCCGTAAAACTCTCTGAGTCAGGGATGCCACTCGGAATCTGAGGTCATTTCTCAGATTGTAGTTTGCGATGCTTTTGGATGTGCCTGATGTTGCACAGGTGTTTCTTTTATTACGTGCACGTCTGTAGATTTTCCTGCTTTACAGCACCAACAGATTTTGCTTTGTGCCTATAGGCTATTGCTGAAGTTGATACCTCTTTGTTACACAGACAGAAAAATGGCTTCAGAGTTAAGACTTTAAATCAACAAACTGGCTCAGGGCCAATTCCCACAAATCAGTTCCTATAATTTTAGACCTACTGAAAGCTTGGATACTTGTTTCCTGTGTGTCCAACAAACCTGTGATTATTTATTCAATTTATAATGCTCATTAGCACTCAAATTGGGCAGTAAATCATTCAGATTTGTAAGAAGCATTTTATTTACTTTGTGAGGATGTGCAAAAGTTATAAATACAGTGTGGTATTTTTCAGGTTTGGAACATTCTGGTCTCTAAAATATGGGCGTGGATAATTTATTCAAAGAGGTTTTGTGCTTCTTTTGTGGGAACTCTCATTGATTTTGCTGTTTTTGTGTCCTCTGCTCCCAGCCAGGATGCACATGACCTGTGGGTTCAGCCTGGTTGGCTCGGGCCTCGGCGTGGCGGAGCCCGGAAGCCGGAGCGTCTGCACGGACGCTCATCCCACCGTGAACGGGGCCCCGAGGACCAGCTACAGCACCAAGCAGCTGACCGAGCTGGAGAAGGAGTTCCACTTCAACAAGTACCTGACGCGGGCCAGGCGGGTGGAGGTGGCCAGCGCCCTGCAGCTCAGCGAGACGCAGGTGAAAGTTTGGTTTCAGAACAGACGCATGAAGCAGAAGAAATTGCAGCGAGACGGGCTGCTCCGCGACCCGAGGCCCGCGGCTGCGCACTCGTACGGCGGACACACTCTGGACACCTGCCCCTCTCCAGGACCGACCTCTCCCTAAAACAAAACAAAACAAGAAGATAAAAAAAAAAGAAAATAGAAAAAAAGAAAAAGAAAACACCTGCCTCCCCCTCCCTCCCTCCACCTCTGAACTGAACATGCAGGAGCTGCGTCGTGCGTTACGCGGCAGCCTGCAGATGTTTTGATTCGCGTTTGCATCGGTTTCAATCAGGCTTCACCTTTATTTGCTTACCACGATGAATGCTCGTCGCAAGAAGCGCGATGGCAAGTTTCTTCATGCAAGAGCGGGTGAAAACGATTTGTCATCCTCCCCCGGCTTCAGACTGGCGCTCTGATTTGAATATTAAAATTCAAGTCATTCCATTGCGCTGCTGCCTACACAATGTAAACGAAGATACAAAACGTATATTAATTGTGCATAGAAGCTGTGGCCTATTTTCTTATTTATTTTGGACAATTTATTCAGGAAATGACTTTACTTGAATATATTTATTCAACAGGACACGTGCGTGTAGTATTTTGGTTGTTGGTTTCAAATGACAAATTATTATTATTTTCTTATTTATTTATTCAAGAATCAGCCCACATGTTGTCATGTTTATTTTATCGAAACAGAAAGACAATCCTTTTGACTAACTATTTGCAGAATTTTCAGCAACTTGTGCATCAGATCGCTGCTGCTTTCTCCATGGAGCTTTATTTCTCTATTTATTTGTCTCTTACAGCCCACTTTAGCGCACGGATGCACCTGTTGTAGCCTTTAACACGCTTGTTAGAAGCCTGCTGTTAGAGCTCCAATGCTGATTTACTCATTTCCCCCCGATTTTTTAAAAAAAGTTTTCATTATCTTCCTTCCTGGCAAAGATTAAAATGCCCTAATTGATGCAACGATTTATTGATCGCTGGCAGAAGAGTATCGATCCGCAGTGATCCATCCGCAAATCTGGGAGCATCTGCATGCATCTGTAACTGCACGTTAATGGAATGTAGAAACATCACGATCGGGAGTTGTTGCCTCTTTTTATTACCCTTATACATGCATCAGAAAATGATAATTTAGCTTGAACGCTCATGCGGGAGAACAGACAATAAAAACGATGCCTGCGCTGTTTTGCGCATCAACCAATAAAAGTGCGTGGCCCCAGCAGCTCGAGCACAGCTAAATATTCCTTCCAGATTCACATCTCATCTCATATAAAGTAAATGATAGTAAACACGGCCCTTAAACACTGTTAGAGTCCCGCTATTTCTTTTTTTCTCTCTCTTTTTTATCACGTTAATGTCTCTTTTAATATTAAGATATGGGCCATGAGCCACATTAATTCTGTGTGAGGGAATATTTTTGTTAAGCTTTCAATTAGCGTGTTTGCACTGAATGTGAAGGTGGCTGGATGCAAAATGGATATTAATCTTAACAAGGAATTAAAATCAGCTATTGCAGATTAGAGCAAAAAAAAAAAAACGTGCACCAATAATCCTGAATTAATTAGGTCTGTTTGAAAGCTTTAACAGGTGTCCTGCAAATGAAATGCTGCAGAATATTCTAATATGAAAATAAGACAATTGCAGCTCTGTGGAGTGCAGGAGTGGACATGAAGGCTGCAAGGCCAAGCTAATGTATGCAGTCACACCAGAGTTCACCCCTCACCTCCTGACCTTTGTCTTGCCTCGGGACAACAGTGACCCGGTCAGCAGCTCAGATAGAGAAAGATGCGCCATTAATTTGGGTGACCTCCAAGTCTGAGCTTTTTCTTTCTTTCATTCTCTCACTCTTTTTTTTTTTTTTTTCTTCTTTCCAGCAAGCAGCTCTGAACGCTTTTGTTCTGGCGGTGGGCTTCTCTATGTCCACACAACAATATTTCATGGAGCTGAATAGAAAAGCGACCAGGCCATATGATAATTGTTCATATTATAATTCCATACCAGGCCAGATAATGCATTTTCCCCCTCCTTACACCTAGAGCTAACCTAATTTTTGCCCTATCTCTTATTTTAATGAGCCAAAAAATGTACTTCTACTGGCTCACTTTATAAACTGGATAAAGGAGTCTTTTCATCCAATAGTTTGTTTTTTGTTTTTTTGGATATAAACTAGAGACTTTTTTTTTTAAATAGCAAAGCTGAAAAATTAAAGTTACTTGAGCATTCTTAATACTATTCCATGTCAGAGGCAGCATAAACAAAATTTGGAACAGCCATTCATTAGATGCTCACAGCTTATTTATTTCATGCATATTCGCTCGAATAATTTTTAAGAACACACATTAATCCCCTCGAAACAATATCTTTTACAATGTTCATCTCATGAATATTAAAGGACAGCTAGAAAAGAATAAAAGTTCAAACTTAAAGGAGAGGAGCTGTCATTTTAAAGTAGTTTTTTTTTGTTGTCTTGTAATTGATAAGAATAATTTCACATGCAAGCAGGACTAAAAATGTGCTGAGCCCAATTTATTTTGAATTTGCATTTAAACAAAACACACACCATTAAGGTCGCCTTCCTCTAAACAAAATAGTGCAAAGTGGAATGTTTAACAAAACCATCAAATGTGTTCGTCTTTTCAATGCAAAGTGTGTGAAGGTTACGAGGATGATGATGATGAGGACAATGATGTTGAACTAATGCGATGATGAAGCCTGCGACTATGAAATTGGTCTCTCATGTCCACTGTTCCTACTGAGAAGTGTGTTGCGTTGACCTTATTAGAAACTCTTTTATCATCTGTGCAAATATGTTCCCTTGCCACGGGGGCTTCGAGTTACAGGTTGCAATGTGCACAGAGGATGCTTGCAGCAGGTGTGCCCTCACACTTCTTTGTTCAATCCTAACTTACTTCATTGCTGTTTTTACTCTGTAACAGATTCACTTGGTAATACAACTGTTTAAGCAGCAGTAGCAAAAAAAGAAAATGTCTAAAAGCAAAAACTTATTGTGAATTATAAGGTTGAGGTGAAGGTGGGCGAAAAAAAAGGGAGTTGATTTATTTTGGGTGAACTATCACTTTAATTTTATTCTGTGGCAGCTTCAGCATTTGCGTCTCAATTGATGAAAGGAGAACTGCATTGTTTGTTCAGACCTGACATTTACTTTGAAAGCATTTGAGTGTGACTCTACCCTGATGAATTTGTGCTCTTCTGTAATTCCTTACTGAAGATGTACGGTGGGTTCACAAGACTGACAGCTGTGCAGTGCTGAAACACACACGTAAACATGGCTAATAGAAGGAAAGTAAAAGCCAAATAACTCTGATCAAAATGTATTACCACTGCATGTAGTAACAGTGTTGATGCTGCATGAGTTAAAATTTTCTTTACTTTTATTTTTCTCTACTATTTATTCAAGGCAACAATTTCTCATGATGAAATCCAACCCAAAAATCTACTTTATTCAACTCATTTGTTTAAATCAATAAGAAACACATTTATAATTAAATGGTTATTTGTAAAAAATAAAATTAAAAAAAAGTTCCTTGCAACATTTTTTTGGGGGATAAAACACTCCTGAACACAAAACTCACGACTGAGATTATCAAAGTAAATCCGGTGAAGTGTTAGCACATGATGAATGAGACGATCGACAGCCTCTATTTTCCTCTGTATTCGAGTGCAAGTTAGCTGATGTGGGCAGCTGTTACAATTCTCCTGAGGATTATTGCGTGGCATGAGAAATGAGAGGAACATATGCATCGTACAGAAAGCCTTACATTACGTTTTAAATGAACACATATAAGTGGGTTCCTTCTGAGCTCATTGTAATTAATGCTAAGTTGACCTAAAATTAACTTAATGCATATTATGCATGTAATATCCTCACCGGAGCTCAGGGGAATGAAATCAATTGATCACGTTAAGCTCTTTCTAACTCTGTGTGAAGCACTTATAGATAGCTCAGTTGTTGTTGTAATTATTTGAATGTTCTCCTCCCTTTTTAAAAAATTTCTGCTTGTCTGATTTTACTGTTTTTCTTTATTTGCAAAGACTTTCATGCACTATTACTCTTTTTGATGGCTCTCATTCACATATTTGACTACCAAACAATTTGTCCATCAAGAAAGTTGAAGTGAAGTGCACCTGTCTGCGTGTGCCCGTGCATGTTTGGAAGCCCTGTGTACAATTACACAAATACGTGTTTTGTTTCCTAGGTGCTACTAATAAAGCGCTCAAAAAAAATACAAAGCACCTATTTGAATAATTGTTCACTGGCACGCGCTTGTGCACACACACACACGCAGACAAATCCATACATAACACATTCTGACAGAAGCTACGCTGAGCAACATGCACACCAGTCCAGTCCTTGCCTCTCCTCTCCTGCTCCACTCCAGGGAGCAGATGTTTGGGGACAGCTTACAGCCTCAGCGAATTTCTGTGTACAAAGCAAACAGCAGCACTCAGCACTTCTGGCTGCAATGGGAAATTTGCTCTTGAAAAGGGGGGGTGGGAGGAAGGGAGGCGAGGGGAGGCCTTTGAGTAAGTGTAAGGTATCATGAGAATGGGAGGAGAGGGGAAAAAGAGTGAGAAGGAGGGTGCACGCAGAGGTGAAACTGTGTCAAGGTTACGAGTCTGTTGCGCTAGAAAACCCCCCCTCCCCACCACCCTGGGACTTCTGATGCCATGTTTCAGAGTGAAGCGGGACGGCATCATGTACAGTATCTCAACGTGGCAGCATCAGGACAATCAACCAAGGTGGCTCTGCTGCATATCTGATTGCGTGGAGTCTATGTGACCTCTCCCAAACAGCTCCATCTCCTCCCTAGTTTGGATTGCCCTTTGAAAAAGTTGCCGACAAGCATAAAGTGAAGGAAACAATGCAATAAGCCTTTTCAGATATTGCTGATATTGCATCTAATACATCAGCTATAACACAGGAGCAGCTATGCTAGTGATGGCACTGATATAATGCACTTCTTTAATGGTCCTGTAGCAAAGATGCTGCATGTGCCCCCTTTAATTAGTGTCCTATGGAAAAATTGCAGCCTTATTGAAAGAAAAAAATATGAATACAAATGTCTTATTTAGATGACAAGACTTCTCATAAGATATCATTTTGTAAATGCTTTTGCACAAATACAGTTTTTTTAGTTCCATTTTCCCTTCCAAAATGTTTACAGCGCAGCTTTACCACATATGCTGCTCAAGATGCTGCACACAGTTGTACGTAAATCAGCTCAAACACACACAAAAAACACTCTTATTTCCAAACATGTGTGCAAGAACACACATTTTGACCTCTCATCAGTGTAATATAATCCCTAAACAAACCATCATAAATGAGCCCTGCGATGCTTATTTGTCTGAACGAAGGCAACCCCCTCCTCCTCTGCCCCTGGGGTGAGGTTGCCATAGTGACAGATTCATAGACATATGGAGAGAGAGGAGAAAGGGAGCCGGGGCTGAAGGGGTGGGGCTGAAGGGGTGAGGTGGAGGGAAGACAGAGGAGAAGGGGATGGGTACCGGTTTGAGGACGTTGGCGCTCTGTCTTTCAGATGTGTCTTTGTGTTTCATCTGTCAATCAGCCATCCGTGGCAGTCTGTGCTCAGCGAGGGAACAGTTCATGAACTTTTCTCAATCAAGTCTCTGTCAGGAGCCATCTTGGCTGTATTTCATGGGGGAAAGAATTGATTCTCGAGCCGACTTCACAGCCCAAAAAACACAGGATGTGCGGCGGCACCAAAATGTGTACTATTAACCTGATTTGGAAAGCTGTATACACATTTTGCTGTCTCTTGCCATTTTGTTGTTTACACTCATGACTAATCAGCATTAGGAAAACAAACATACAGATGCTTTTGCTCCTCGCTAATTAGATTCAGATGATGTTATCAACTTTTCAGCCAACCTGAGGACAGCTTGACAATGGAGAAGGAGAAGGAACAGGGAGGAGGGGGGAGACAGGGAAGAGTAAAAGAAAAAGGGGGAGTGTAGGTTTGAAGCGGCCGTCAGGACTGGCCTTGCTGCTATAAAAACACATTTTTTCATCAGCCATTTTATGCAAAAGGGAAAGACCAGGTGCTCAATCAAACCTCACGCCTACTGTTTTATTTTTCATCTTCACCCCTCCCAGTGCTTCTCCGCACAAACCTTCTGTGTGCCTTCCCTCTACCCTCGCACCACTCTTCTCCTCCTCTTCCCTCTCTCCGTGTCATTCGTCTTCCCGCCTGTCTCTCTGCTGCCTGCTCTCCAACTGATATGAGGGAGTGACCCTCGGGCCCTCAGGGGTCAAGTGATACAAGGTCATTGGCAGGTCATCTCTGCTGACTGGCTGACCTCTAAAAGGACTTCTGGAAGGAGCCAATCAGGTCTTGCTTCTTCCCCCCTAAGGCGGATCACCCTCCCCAGCTCATCAGCAGCCTGTGTCACATGACCAGGGTGAGGCGTCAGAGGGAGGATGATTAATGATGCTTTTAGTACCTGTTTAGAATGAAGCTGTCCACACCGCACTGTAATTACCCACTCCCAGGCGGCAGCTGCCCAACGTAATTGCTTTTTGTTTGTTGACCTGGTTTATTGAGGAGAAAGATGGCTTTGGCTGGGTAAGATGGTGCTATGTACAGTATACAGAGGTGAGGATGTATGTATGTCAAAAATTTTTGGTGGCAATGTGAGATTTATGTAAGCTACAAAGGAGTGAGCAGGAAGATGTGTAGCTCAGCTGTGTGTGCACGCCGGACAGATACAAGTGACACAACACACATAGGGGACTCAGGCTCCATACAAATCCATGTCTTAAAACAAAATCGGTGTATATATAGTTATGGTATGTAGCCACAACAAATGTCACAGTGATATGCAACCCTCCCACAAAAGGTCAGAGACAGCTAGAGACCTCTGGCAAGGGTGACTGCATAACACTGAAATACACAAGTATTGAACAGTTGGTATGTTCCATCATGCATAATTTATATCAACGTCTCAAAGGTGTGAGCACTGTGTTGCTCTGAAAATTCGAAACTAAGTTCAGAAGGTCAGTGGAATACTGCACCTAGTGATCCCCCCCTCCCCTTTCTTCTTTGGAGACATGCCTAAAGCAAATATGAAAATCTCAGTACCTGCGGTGCAGTGCCACGAGGACAGTGACAATGAAACCCAGATAAACAGCCCCTCGTTTGACCTATGGAGAGCATAAATTTGCCGCCCATAAATCCTTGAGTGTTTCAGCTCCGTTTGGTGCATTTGCTGTGCTTCTCTACCCAGACTGAGAGAGGCAAGTGTTGGGTATCAGTGCTTCTGTATGAGCAGCTTTCATCCTGCTCCTGGTTCTCACATAACTCAGTCCTGCAGCCTTTATCACCGCCTCATAAATAACTAGGCTATCGCCTGATAATGTCCGCTTAATGCTTAGTCAATAAAGCCCACAGTAAGAGGGGCCTTTTTTAGCCTCTCTCCTGTACATAAATATAAACAGTGCAGTAGATTGATGTGATGGGCAGGCTCTTTCTACACTGGGACAAAAAGAGGCAACGTGTGGGCCCGGGAGCTGAAGGTGGGCTGTGGGGCTGCAGGTGTTTAGAGGAGATAGTGGGCTGTAATGAGGGGGCTGCAAGAGAAAGGCTGAGTGGATAGCCTTGACTGATCACCTGTGAAAGGCACATGCACACATATACACACAAATGATAGCACACAGACACTGATGCACAAAGGCACAAGCACACACCGGCACAGTCATTCACACACCGACACACACACTAATGCCATCATTAGTTAACCCATTGGTGTCGATGCCTTGTGCACAAAAGCTCATCCTCCCTATTTGAAGGGCATTAGAGCATTATGATAAAGAGACTTCCCAGTGAACTGCTTTTGTATCTTGTTAGCATCTTTTCCTAATCTATTGGCACATTTGCAAAGCCAGCCCTACGCTGCTACCGCAGAATTACATCTGAGGTTGTAGGTTTCATTGTCTTGTGCACATTGCATGGACAGTTATCGACCATTCGCACCAGTCATCAGACCATCCAATTCCAGTGCGGCGCCAGGGGCAGCTGCAGTCAGTGCGATGGCTGAAATGGGATCAGACTGAGCCCTGGGGAGACAGAAGAGACTGACAGGGATGTTCCTGGGCTGAACGAGGGGGCTGATTGTGATCCATGAGTTAGTCAGTGTAGCAGCACCTGGGTTTGGAGCAGCAGCTGGGGAGATAGGCAGAGTGACACAGAGCGGGTTCAAACTGAGAAGAATGATACAATCAGCTCATATTGACATACTTGGTGGGGTTCAGTTCGTGGTTTGGTTGTCATGTGGGTGCTTACACACATTTTGTCAAGCCAGGTTCAAACCCAGGATCAGGCCAGACAACAAACAGGGAAGAAATTCATGCTAATGTATCCCCATTTCAAATCCAGCCCTGAAATAATTTTGTCAGACTAAATGTAGATTTGTTTGAGGGTCATCTTGGAGATGTTTTTGTCTCTTTTATGTGCTAACTTAAACTTTCATGATCAGCATATAATTATATCTAGGTTAGCTTGGCGCAACCACATTGGCTAATGGTTTCCCTCAGTCAAACTGTATTTATGAGGCACATTAATATCTAGTTAATTTCCAGGATGGAAATCTTGGAAATCAATGGTTAATTACCATTCCAAAATGGTATTCACAACAAGTAACATTGGCAAGTGACCACAATACAACCATCTCTCCAACAAAAATTAGAACGTTTACCCCAAACAAAGGGATTTGGGAAATTAAGACCTCTGAGATTAGATGCAAGAATTATTATTTCAGACTAAGGATTGATTGTGCAAATGATGCAGGTCAACATACAGTTTAGGCTTTTATTTTAGAGTCAACAACTTAACCATGAAGTCACTTTCCAAAGGCACAGGGGTAAACATGACGTGTAGGAAAATCTGGCTACATTGAAACTGTAATACAAGAGCAAGCTGTAAAATATTTAAACTTGCATTTTCAGTTTTAATTGAATAACCTTTGCTACACCGCTCGCTATCAAG